AAAAGAAGAACGGAGGGGAAGGGCCTACCATAGCCCACAGTTCTATGGCTTGATTGTTGGGACTCTTGATGCAGGAAAGTAGCTTCCATAACAGCTACTTACATAACAGTGTCAGATAGAAAGCAGAGGCATGCTCAGGCTAGAACTGGGACCAGGCTACAAACTGTAAACAATAGTGGACCAATCTCTCTTGACTATGACAGGTGCTGCAGTGAGCCTAGGCTGAAGTCTTTTTGGACTGTCAAGGCCAGATGAGGATCTAGACACTAAGGGGTCACTTGGGCTTGAAAGGAAACTTTGGCCCCTCTAACCTTTCTTTAATCAGTTGTTCCGTATTTGTGAGAGTAAGTAAAAGGTCCTGCTTGTCCCAACTGTGGCTTCCATTGGAAGGAGTGAGGAAACTTTTCCTCCATGTTGAACCTCCTCTTTGTAGACCTGACATTAGCTAGAGTACAAAGACTTCCCAGAACAAGAGAACAGGAGATTCTACAGTTACAGGACATTTCAAGAGATGGCTTGCAGTCCCCTGGAACCTCGTTGACCTTAGGAGGCAAAAGAAACTATTCTCCTCTTTAGTCCCCCTGACCACATTACTATGGCCTCCAAGTCTGGTTCTTGAACAGCCAGAAGATCAGCTATGCCAGTTTGGTACTTTTCACTACTGAGTATGTTTCCATAACTAACCATTTCTAAATAAACTTTGAGCCAGTCCTTTTAATTGTTGATCTTTGAAACTTTAATAACTATATACAGCATCTCTAAGTTTCATCCTTCTGTACCTTAAATAACTCACTCAGACTTTTATAATCTGTATAAACTTTTTAGTTTTCCATTCTGTAAACATCTAACCATCTTTATTTTCATATATAAAAAATTTTCTCATTAATAAAACAGTTTCCATTTTTGCATCCTTCTAACATTTCCTTTTATTTACTGGTTTCCTTTCTGAATACCTTAAGATATAATTTACTATTTGTTGTGAAAAAAAAAAATTCTCCCAGTCAGGGAGAAGGAGCTAAGCAATGTGTGTGCCCTTCCATAAAGACCCAAAGACAAACCAAGGTTCAGTCTCATCAGAGTTTTACCCCAAGGAACTGACAAGTTTATTGGACTTACTAAGCATGAGTGAGGGACTGCTGTCGGGACTCTGGGTACCCAAAAGCAGCCACACTGGAAAGTCTTTGCCCATGTACAATGTTGAGGATACTGACCTGTGTTACCTGGGTGTATTGATAGTCAAAGAGAAGTGAATGAGGTTGAGTATCATGGTCAGAACAAGTCTGATACTGGCACAGACTTGGAATAAGAAACAGATTCTGGTCTGGCATTGTGGCATATGCCTTTAATCCTAACATTGGGGAGGCAGAGGTAGGTTGATCTCTATGGATTTGGGACCAGCCTGGGCTACATAGAGAGTTCTAGCCAGCCAGAGGTATAGTGAGACCCTATCTGGAAGCAAAACAAAAAGAAACAGATTCTGTGATCGAAATAAGGATATGATGCTTAACTGATTGTTCAGTTTGTCCCAAAGGTCTGGGTGACTGGAATCAGAAAGACCCGAGAAAAGGAGGTCTCAGAAATTTAGATAGGGTAGTCTAGGTTCAGACCAAAACAAGAGGAAAGTAACAACCCAGGAGCATTTCTAAAATAGTTGATAAGATTTGCTGGCCAATTGCTTGGTTGCAAAAAGAAAAGAGGAGGGAGAATTTAAGTATGAATTGAAGGTCCTTAGACGCAGAGTTGAGAGAATACAGAGATACAGAAAACCTTAAAGAAAAACAAAAAGAGCAGTGTAGTATTAACAAAGGAGAAAGAATAGATGCAACAAATATTTGCATTATACATTTCATAACATACTGGGTGCATTTCATAAATGAACTTTGGTTTGCTGTTAAAATTTTTGAGAGGTTTATACAAGGCACAGGTAATAATTATTAGGAGAACAGACAAAACTTTGGCAGCAAAAGGAAGGAAAAGCAACAAATGACGAAAGGTTGAAGGAGAATGGGGGAGGAAGGAAGAGGAGCTTCATTTAAGTGATATTTGAGGAATGGCAGGTGCTGTTGTGATAATCCTATCCTGCTGTGATAATCTGCAGGCTTGCCTGTTGGACACAGTTACTGTGAAACATGAGTGATCTTCCAGTCTTTAGCCTGGCTCTCTCCAAGATGACTTCATTCTAGTGGATTGGTATTACAAAAACATTTTATGGCTGAGTGGTTGCAATCTTCATTTTATAAGAATAATTAAACTTTTTCTTTATTGAGTAATTTAGTGTGATGCAAGCTAGCTAACTAGATGTGTACAAATTTTAGAAGTCTGTCACAGTACTCTGTCTGGAGAGCACAATTTAAATTTCTTTTTAGATTTATTTGTTTTATGTTTATGAGTGTGCATCACACGAGGGCCTAGTGCTCTGCTTGCAGAAGTTAGAAGAGGGTATCAGATGCCCTGGGACTGGAGTTACAGATAGTTGTGAGTCACTTTGTGGGTGCAATCTGGATCCTCTGCAAGAGCAACGAGTGCTCGCCCATCTTTCTATCTCTCCATCCCTCCCTCCCTCTTTCTCTCTCTCTCTTTCTTTCTGGCCTTTTGAGACAAAGTTTCTCTGTGTAACAGCCTGGTTGTCCTGGAGCTGGCTTTGTAAACCAGGCTGGTATCACAGAGATCCACCTGCCTCTGCCCCACTGAGTGCTGGGATTAAAGGTATGCACCACCATGCACGCCCCACGAGAACCAGGGTTTCTGCGTAGTGGCTGCCATTGCTGCCCATTGTCATTGTTATGCTGAGGTTAGCTGCTGCTCCCTCTTTTGGCAGTCTGGGCCAGCCTAGACTCTGAATCTCTGAACACCAGGCTGTCACCAGTGAAGGGTACATTCTACACACCCTTCCTACACTGCAGAAAGGGAGAGACGGGTTATCTCTGGGATCTTTCCTGATTAGAAAGCAGGCTATAGCAGGCAGCCCAGACTCCAGAGGTCTTTACAATTTTTAAGTAAGTTTAAGCCTAGAGTCTTCATTTCCCTGTGATCCCTGTGTGAGCTTTAATGTTTTTACTACTAGTTATTATTGATATTATATATAATATAGCAAAAAATATGAAAAAATCGTTGCACTTACATTTCTCGTAATAATATTCTAAATTCTGTATTATTTCCTGGTTTTTAACAATCTCTTTAACATTTGTAGCTATTCCACATCCTTATACCATTTGTTTTTGTTTCTCTGTTTTATTTTCTTTGTTCTTTTTTTTTTCTTTTGGTTTTTCAAGACAGGGTTTCTCTACGGCCCTGGCTGTCCTGGCACTCTCTGTGTACACCAGGCTTGTGTCTAACTCAGAGATCAGCCTGCTTGTTTCTGCCTTCCAAGTGCCAATTCTGTTTTCTAGTTCCTTGTCAAAGTCCTCCCTTCCCCCACCTCTTCCTTGTTGAAGGTGGAATTCTGGGTCCTGGACATGCTAGGCAAGTATGTTACTATTCAGGCCCAAGCCCCTCTTCCTATCCCAAAGTTCACTCATTTAAAATATGTACTTGGGAAATGTAAACAAACTTAATGTTTTATTTAGTTTTCAACACTGTCTGTATAGCTGTATTAGGCTGCACATTATAGAATACCTAATTCAGAGTGACTTATAGGAAACATGTAAATCAGCTGTTCCAGCAATAGGCCAAGCTTCAGGGTTGATATGATGCCATTAAGAATTTGGTGTCAGAGGTTAAGAACACTGGCTGTTCTTCCCACAGGTGCTGAGTTCAATTCCCAGCAACCACATGGTGGCTCACAACCATCTATAATGTAATCTGGTGCCCTCTTCTGATCCGCAAGCACATATGCAGGCAGAATGCTGTATAAAAAAAATAAATCTTAAAAAAAAAAAAAAAAAAGAATTTGGTGTCCTTCTTTCTGACACAGAGTGAGTCTTAGCCTCGTCACAGGATGGCAGAGTGGTTGCCAGCCATATGCTTTTCTCCTAATGGCTAGTGATATGTAGCAGCCCACTCCTGTGCCCCTCCACCACAAAAACCCGATTTTTTTCTAGTATCCATAGATATTTAATTTTTTATATAAAAATATTTTTCACACAGTATATTTTGATCATATTTGTTACCCTCCCAGCTCCTCCCAGATCCCTCTCAAAAAATAAAAAAAAACCAACAAAATGGAGGACATAATAGACAAGCAGACTTAAAGAAAATCAATAAGACAAACAAAACAAAACAAAATGTAAAGGAAGAAAACATGGAGTTCATTTTGTGTTGGCGTGGAGCCTGTCCTGGAGTGTGATTGATGTGCCCTGTGACGTTGCATTGGAGAAAACTAATTTTCTCTTTCCCAGCCGATATCAACTGCAAATAGCTTCTTGGTTAGGGGTAGGGCTTTGTGCCCACTTCTCCTTTTCAGTGCTGGGATTTTGTCTGGTTTCAGTTTGTACAGGACTTACGCATGCTGCCACAGTCTTCATGAGTTCACATGTCTATCAGCCTTGTATGTGGAAACACTTTTCTTGGAGTCATCTGCTATCTCTGGCTCTTAAAATCTTTCCATCTCCTCTTTCATATAGGTCCCAGAGTCTGAAGGAGAGGGGTTTGATAAAGAGATCCCGTTTAGGGATGAGTACTCCAAATTTGCTCGCTCTCTGCACACTGTCCAGTTGCAGATCTCTTTGTTAATTACCATCTACTCCAAGAAAAAGCTTTTCTGATGAGAGTTACACATTTCTCTGCTCTGAGTCCCCAGCCTAGAGTGGCAGCTTTGGCTTCTTGGTTGTGTCCGTAGATCTTAACTGAGCTATGCATTTCTGTCTTGAACCACCAGTTGCGGTGGGGATAGGATTGTTCTGGATTGCTCAGGCTTACTGAACTACCTAGAAGAGGGAGAATTGGATGAAGGGTGACAGCCATACCATCCTTTATGCCATATTTTGAGGACATTTGAGTTTCATTATAAAAATGCTTGCTTGCTCTTTTTTTCAATGTTTTTATTCTTCTTTTGTTTTTAGGGACTGTTCCAACAACCAAACGGACAGGCATTCCAGCTCCACGGGAACTCTCAGTAACTATCTCAAGAGAGAGGTCTGTGCCACGTGGTCCCTCCAGTTCAAAGAAGGTGGGCTCCAGTCCAACTTCCTCCTGCAATCCAACTCCTACCAAGCACCTAAGGACCACCTCTGCAAAACCTAAGCAAGAGCATGAAGGTTCAGAGAAGGCTGTGCTTGAGTCCCAGGTTCGGGAACTTCTGGCAGAAGCCAAAACCAAAGACAGTGAAATAAACAGGCTTCGGAGTGAACTAAAAAAATGTAAAGAGAGGTGGGTCCTGAGCTCTGAAGACCCCTGTGCTTCAGACCCAAGTGCAGAGGGCACATTGGTCCCCGTGGGAGACACAGAGCCTTTGATAAGAACCCTCGAGGAGAAGAACAAGACCTTTCAGAAAGAGCTTGCTGACTTAGAGGAAGAGAACAGGGCCTTGAAAGAGAAACTGACTTACCTTGAGCAGTCACCAAACTCAGAAGGGGCAGCAAGTCACACTGGTGACAGCAGCTGCCCAACATCCATTACCCAAGAGTCCAGCTTCGGAAGCCCAGTTAGAAATGAATTGTCCAGTGAAACGGACGAGTATAGAAGAAGCCTACACGGAAGTGCATTGCGGACCTCAGGATCTTCAAGCAGTGATGTCACTAAAGCCTCTCTGTCACCGGATGCCTCAGATTTTGAGCATATCACTGCAGACACCCCATCTCGGCCCCTGTCAGCCACTAGCAACCCTTTTAAGGGCTCCAAGTGTTCCCCTACTGGGAGCTCCCCAAACAATGCAAGTGAGCTGTCCTTGGCATCTCTCACCGAGAAGATCCAGAAGATGGAGGAAAGTCAGCACAGCACCGCGGAAGAGCTTCAGGCTACTCTGCAGGAACTGTCAGACCAGCAGCAGATGGTGCAGGAGCTGACAGCTGAGAATGAGAAGCTAGCGGATGAGAAGACCATTTTAGAGACCTCTTTCCACCAGCACCGAGAGAGGGCAGAACAGCTGAGTCAGGAAAATGAGAAACTGATCAATCTTCTGCAAGAGCGAGTGAAGAATGAGGAGCCTAGTGCCCAAGGAGGAAAAATCCTCGAGCTGGAGCAGAAGTGCACAGATATTCTTGAGAAGAGCCGCTTTGAAAGAGAGAAGCTGCTCAACATTCAGCAGCAGTTGACCTGTAGCCTACGGAAGGTTGAGGAAGAAAACCAAGGAGCGATAGACATGATTAAGCACCTGAAGGAAGAAAATGAAAAGCTGAGTGGGCTCCTAGAACACGAGCGGTGTAATAATAGTGTGATGGCCAAAACTTTGGAGGAATGTAGGGTTACCTTGGAAGACTTGAAAATGGAGAATGGGTCCTTGAAGGCTCATTTGGAGGCCGATAAGCAAGAGGCCACAGAGGCCAGCAGTACCGTGGGGCAGATGGCAGAGAACTTTGAGGTCCAGGAAATGCTGAAAGTGGCTCGGTCTGAGAAAGATCAACTGCAACTGTCTTGCACGGAGCTCAGACAAGAATTGCTAAAGGCAAATAGTGAAATTAAACACGTTTCCAGCCTGCTAGCTAAGGTAAGGAGAGGGATCTCAGCTAGTATTTGTTGACATTTCTCTTCGAGACCTTAACAACATGGAGCAAAGAGAATCAGTTGTTCAACTCTATTTGTGAATCCAGCATTCCAGTTTGAAAATCTATTAGAGTTTAGACAGGTTAGTACTGGGGATTCTGAAGTAAAAACACTCAGATTTTTATACAGATAGTTCAAAGATTAATGGAATTATATCACATGGTATGATGTAGTAATGAAGAATATCAGGGGTGGCATGTGCCTTGGTGGGAGGATGCTTTCATAGTATCCTTGAGGCTTTAGATTTCATCCCTAGCACCACACAAAAATGGGATGAACTACAATTTAGAACCATCCAGGATACATTGATTGACTTTTTGATGCATTTAATACTTTCTGAGCATATTCTAGCACTGGCTCCTTTAAATGTTGTTTAAAATGCCATCTAATATTTATCATGTAACTGTTTTATATTCACTAGTCCACTGTTATTGCCATGTGTGTATTATTAGTTGTTTATGTGCTTTCTGGTCTAAGGATATTAAAAGTAAATTTTTATATATCTCTGATTATTTCTTCAGGAAAAATTCCTAGACGTTGACTTAGTGAGTCAAAGAGTATAAACATTTTAAAGACTTTCAACACATTTGGCCAAATTGCCCGCCAGAAATAATACGCCAATTTGTTCCCACCAGTTCATGAGAGTACTTGCTTCCTTGAGCCCTTGCCAAAACGTCGTACTAAATTATATCATTCAAATCTGTTAATCATTTCCTGAAAAAAAAATTTTTTTTAGCTTAGAGCTTAAGATGAAATAAGTGATTGTGGCTTTCATTTTTAAAATAACTCTTTGATTTGGCTGGAATGTTGCTGTGTGATACAAGATTATTGGTGGTGATTGTGTGATCGTTGTCTGCCTCACAGGGTGAGTGCTGGCTTCTTGTTCCTGTCTTTCTAGCTCTGGGTCCATGATTTGGGGGGCTGCTGGGAGTATTGGAGTGAAAGCATCTGTCAGTGTTTCAAAAGGCAGTTAGTTGTGCTGTGGGCTCATTGGGAGGTTTCTACCAGTTGCTGCGTCTGTTTTAGGATGGGTCAGTAGCAGCCCAGTTCTGTACTCGGCTGTCTTCTGTCTCGGTGGTAGGTTGTCTGGGGAGATTTTATCTTTGCCTGTGTTGTAATTCACAAGTATTTTATTGAAGGAATGGAAGCATCAGTGGTTATGAGCCAGCTGCTCATTTGAATTGTATGTTGATAAATGAAGCTTTGCATTAAGTCACCTTGTAAAATAAGAATGTTCTCTTTTGTTGTTTACAGTTCACTCATTACTTATTTTGCAAAATGTTTAATCTCCCACCCAGATGGACCTTCATTAAAAAAAAAACAACAACAACACTTTTTTAAGATTTATTTTATCTTATGTGTATGAGTGTTTTGCCTGCATGTATGTGCTCCACATGCTTGTCTACTGCCCACATATGCTAGAAGAGATCATCAGAGCTCCTGGAACTGGAGCTACAGATGGTTGTGAGCTACCATGTGGATGCTGGGGAAAGTGCCTGTGTCCTCTGCAAGAACAGTGCTCTAAATCACTGAGGTCCTCTTGGACTTTCTTGAAGCCCTTCCTCTGGCTGTCTCTGGCATTTTAAGTAATTTGACATCTCAAGTAGCATATTTTTTCCAGTCAAATGATTATATATTCATTACAGAAGATTTAGTAAAATACAGAAAAGAAAATGAGCACTGCCTTTAATGCTATCACCAGAAGGAAAATCTACCAAAATTTTGTTATATATATATATATATATATATATATATCTTGGACATTTTTCTCGGTTGATATAATCCTTGGTTTGCATACAAACCCATATAATAGTTCATCTTTCTTTATAAGAGAACAGAGTATGTGTGGCCACAATATACAAATACACTGAACCAATTAGATTACTATACAAGTTCCACTTGTAACCTTTTTTCCCCTTGTAGAGATAGGGTTTCTCTGTTTAGTGCTGGCTGTCCTGGAAGTAGCTCTGTAGACCAGGCTGCCCTCTGCCTTCCAAGTGCTGGCATTAAAGGTGTGAGCCACCACACCCAGCCTAAACTCTTTCTTAATATATTTCTACAGTTATCCTTTTTAAAATAATTTTTATAATTTGTTTTCTTTCCTGGTTTCTTGAGTAAAATTCTTTAACTTTACCCTCCCCTGGTTGGGTTTAAAGGTATAAATTTGCCCTTTCTTATAGCTTAGCCAAAGTAAAGACAACAAAATCTAGAGTTTTTCTTGTATACATTTAATCTATTTGGAGAAAATGGAAAACGTATGTTTCCTATAGAGCACAACACACAAAAACATACTTAAAATCAAATTACTTTTAAATAGTTAAACTGTTATTCACATAGTCCCATGTGTTTACTGATTTTTCTGCCAACTAAAATTATTATGTACTGACTGTAGGAGTCTAGCCACTGTTTAGTTAAGAGTCTAAGGGGAAAAATACATGAGGTGTAATGCTACATACACAGGGTTTCTTTTATAGGTATTACGACTCCAGGTCTGTGATTTTGCATTGCCTTGTGTACAGAGAACACATTTATATAAGTCATCAAATTGAAGAAGCAAATTCCAGACCTCTTAAACTCTGTTTTCTGTTGCACCTGACACTGGGTAATTCAGAAGAGAAACGGTTATTTCAAGAGAGATTCAAAAGAGAAAGATATTTGAGCTGCTAGTTCAAGATGCTGGAAGTGTAAAGTCAAGCGTGTGTGTCTGCTGAGGGATGGGGTGTTTCTACTCATGACAGGGTGGGAAGAATGAACTACCTTATGTGAGAAGGCAAGGGGGAGAGGGTGAGTGGAGGTGTCAGCTTTACAACAAGGCCCTTGCTCTTTAGTCCGCTGAGCAAGAGAGAGCCCAGGAGACTGCACCCATATACTCTTTTTTTAAAATAGAGTTATTATTATTTATACAGTATTCTGCCTGCATATATGCCTGCATCCTAGAAGAGGGCACCAGATCTCATTATAAATGGTTGTGAGCCACCATGTGTTGCTGGGAATTGAACTCAGGACCTCTAGAAGAACAGCCAGTGCACTTAACCACTGAGTCATCTTTCCAGGTTACCCATGCACTCTTAAGTAGCCTCCTCCTACTTACTTCTAAAAAGCCTTACACCAGTATTCATTACTTCTCTCATGGCTGTGTCAAAATACTTACTAAATACTTAAGGAAGGATTTATTTGGACTCAGTTTTGAGGGGGAAGCATGGCAGTAGGAGATGCGTCAGCCCTTCACTCTAGTCTGGAAGTGGAGAAGGGTGAATCTTGCTTTTCCTGTACTCAGTCCTAGACTCCAGCCCAGGAGACAGTGCTGTCTGTATTTAGGGTAGGTCTCCCCCTCTTCAGTCTTCAGTTAAACCTTTCTGGAAGTTCATAAGACACGCCAGATGTGTTTCCATGGTGATTCCAAATCTAGTCAAGATTAGCCATAATTCCTCCTAATACTACCACACTGGAAATAAAATTTCAACATGAGTCTGGGTAAAGATAAACCATATCCGAACTGTAGTACAGGCTGACAGCTCAGTGTATCCCCATGGCAGAATATCAACTAATCCCCAGCAACCGTGGATTCCAGTAATGTTCCTGAAGGAACCCACCCATTCTTAAAGGACAGCAGGACAGGAGCTCATCACATGCTTTCTAGAATGTGCCTGTTTCCCCAGCAGGTCTCTGATCTTAAAGCCCTGTAAAAAGTGGTGGACCCTGAACTGCTAGACGGACTAAGGAAGGATGGTGTCAGTGGGAGCCAGATCCACCTTCGGCCTCTGCCCCTGTGCTTCCATGTGCTTTCACTGGAGAGTGCTACCCTGTACATCAGTTTTCTTCTTTAACCTGCTTTCCTTGCGATGGATTTATTTCCTTCCTTAGATGTGTCATTACCTCTAGTGAGGTAAGGCCACAGCACCATTCTCTTCCTTCATCGTGACCTCAGAGGTCATCTGTGAGTAGCCGTGATGCTCCCATACCTCTGTCCTTTACATGTTTTGGGGCAGCACCTATTGTCCATGTCCTTCCCAGACACAGCCCTGCTTGGCTGCTCACTGTTAGCTCCCAGTGGCAAAATTCAAATTCCTAGCTTCATCTCTGGCTCTGAGTTTTCTATAACCCTCATCCCTTTTTTAAACAGCAGAAGTGTAAATATACCAGAGTAACTCCATCCTAGGCAGAATAGCATTGAAAACACACACACACACACACACACACACACACACACACACACACACACACACACACA